TTGCATCTGAATGCTTATCTTAACTTCTAAATTCCATTTTCCATTCTCCATACTCTCTGGTGACTGCATGTCAGTTTTCCTCAAATAAGGAACTTGGGAGTCAACTTTGCCTAGCGACTTCTCGTACCTCCTCCATCCACTTACTAAAACCAATGGAATCACCTGTTCTCTCCTTCCAAAGTAATTGTATGGTGTGGATCCTCATCTTCTTTCCTCTCACCCCAACAACCTAATGCTCTATGTCTTGCACAAATGATCTGATATCTCTGTCTCAGTTTCCACTTCTGCAGAATGAAAATGGTGACACCAATAGAGAACTGGGGTTGAACATGAGAATTACATGTGCTAGAATACAGAGATTGTACCCAACTTATGATGCTTCAACTTCCATTTTTTGACTTTACAATGGTGTGAAAGCAAGGTGCATTTAGTAAAAACTATATGTCAGATTTTTATCTTTTCCTGGACCTGACAGTAGAATAATTGCTTCCCCATGCAGGATGGCACAATGAGCTGCACCTCCTAGTTAGCACTGGATCATGAGGGTTAACACCTGGCATTCTGTAGTGTATGGTGTTGTAAAGCTATGGTGTTTGGTACATATATTTAATATATTTAGGTGTGCTAAATGCATTTTGATGTATGATATTTTCAACTTGCAATGAGTTTATCAGGATTTAAACCTATCATAATTTGAGGAGCACCTATATAAAGTACTTTACACCATATTTGGTTTAATGTAAGAATACAATAAATCCTCTCTATTATTTGATGTAAGAACATAGATCAAATTCTATTATAACCATTGGGAGAGTTATTTTACTCCACAAACTGTAGGAAATCATATGCCTCATACATTTTCAGGCTATAGTGCATTATCTAGTTTAAACTTGACATGTAATAGTTACTGAATTAATTAATTAATCTTTGCATTCTTTACAATGCCTGGCATATGGTAGGTGCTCACTACATATTCTCTGAATTGAATTATTCACAATTGACTTGATCTGGATATAATGAAAAACAAGAAATATCACAATACTTCTCAAGTCATAGAATTTAAATTTTAAAGTGTAAAACATTTCCTTTGGGACTCCTACTTAGCAAATTTAGACATTTTTCTTGATTTCATTTGCTCTATAGTGACAATTTCCATGTCCTGCCATTCCTTTTTGTTTTCATTGTCATACATAGCTTAAAATCTGATGTGACCAAAAGCCTAAAATCCAGTTGCCATGTGTTTCAGTAAGCTATTGCTGCATAACAAATGCAAAATCTCAGTAGCATATACAAGATGTATTTATTGTTTGTATGTCTGCAGTTTAGGTAACCTGCACCAGACTTGATTGTGCAGCTCTACTTTAAGCTGCAGGTCTGACTATACTAATCCTTTCACTAAGGATTTGCTTCAGTCTGTCCTTATGTATTTATTCTGGAGCCCAGGCTGAAAGGGTAGGTGCTGTCCAGAGCAAGTCTTCTTTTGGCAATGGCAGAGAAGCAAGAGTGTGAATAGAAATCAGTGCTGCTTTCTAATGCCTCAGGCTGGAACTGACACATTACAACATTGCCCCAAGCAAGTTACAGAGTTAAGCCCAAGATCAATGAAATGGGGGAGATAAGTGCTGCCCACTCTCACAAGTCTTCAAACTCAATCAAGTATTTGAAACAAATACCCATGATTATTTCCCATTTCTCTATACCATGTTCATGTTTTGGGGACATATCTTCTATTTCTGTCTATTGGATAAAAAATGCTCATTTCTACTATGGATTATATTATCAGTAGTGCATCTCACAGGTGATGACACATGGCCATATGACAAAGGACATGAATGTACAAATCTAATTCAGAAAGGACAAGAATAATTGTTACCAATGATTATACTTATCATATCTCTGTGATGACTATGGTGACTCTGTTAACTACATTGTCCCTAGGCAATCACAATAGCCTCTTAGTTTATCTCCTGCGTCTGGTCTTCCCTACTCTCAGTGCCCTCCATTTTCTTTACAAAGTGCTACCAAGTAAACCTCTGCAAGCAGAAATATGATTATAATGTATACTTTACTAAAAAATAACTTCCTAATGCCATACCATGCAAATGATAGAATACCCAGTTGAAAATATCTCACATAACATGAAATCTGGAGAAAATGTTTTAGGGTTGGTTTATGTCAACTTTTTTGTTACTTTTTTTTCTTTTAATGAGTTAGTTCCCACCATAGCCCCAAGCATCACATTATTGATAAATGGTGTTAACAGTGGGAAGAAAAGACAGAGACAGAGAAAGAGAGAGAGACAGAGAGAGAGAGAGAATCCATTTTTCTTCAATGACCACTGTCTCAACAATATCTCCCCCCACATCTATCTATCTATCTCTCTCTCTCTCTCTCTCTCTCTCTCTCTCTCTCTCTCTTACACATACACACACACACACACACACAGAGCACATTTGTACTAAAAGTCTTGAAACAACCTTACACTTACACTACAGGACAGCTTTCTTAGCATTCAGCAATGTCTTTATGACACCTGCCATATTCTGTTTTGTATATTCTTTGACTGTTTCTATTAGCCCCTATAATAAGAAACATCCTGATACATTTTTACAACCTAATACTATTGCATTGCTGTGAAAACAGAAAATATTCAATAAATATTTGTGAAATTGATCTGAATTATGGAGTCTATTAACAAGTTTTGTACTTTATAGCAATTCTTCTTGACTATAGCCAAATTAAAACATTTGATCTGAAGTTCTGGTTTATTTTTTCTTTGATAATATTTTATGTTATTCTTTTTAAGGGTAGCTCACGGTTTTGAACAAGTCTTCAAACTCAATCAAGTATTTGAAACAAATACCCATGATTATTTCCCATTTCTCATACCATGTTCATGTTTTGGGGACATATCTTCTATTTCTGTCTATTGGATAAAAAATGTTCATTTCCACTATGGAGTATATTATCAGTATTGCATTATCCTTAATTACTTCTTTCTGGACAAAGTTGTTAACAGTTCACTGTATTACCTATTCCTAGAAAATGGGTGAAAATCATGACTTCCTTGAAGTCTCACTACACTCATCTCTCTCTCTCTCTCTCTCTCTCTCTCTCTCTCTCTCTCTCTCACACACACACACACACACACACACACACACACACACCTTTATAATAGAGTATCACCTGGCATTCTGCTAGACCTAATTACATGCTCTCTCCCCATTTTACATATTTCTATTTTATTGATTTTCTCCACTGATTAAGACAATGTTTTCAGTCATTCAACAAATGTTTATTTAACTTCCAGTATGTGCCAAATATTGTCTAGGTACCAGAGATCTAGTAATAACGGATAGGTATGTTTCTTACTCTCCTGGATTTTGCATTTTAAGGGAAAAATTTAAGCAGAGAACATGAGAGTCTGGTATGTCAGGTGGAGATAAATATTCTAAGAAAAGTAGGGTAGGGAACATGGCACAGAAAATGGTATTGAGTGGTGCCATTTTTAAGAAAAGGTGGTTAGGAAAGGCTACAATAAGAAGCTACAGTTTGATCAAAGACCTGCGGCAATGGAGTTCCATGCCGAGGAAATAATGAGTGCAAAGTCCCTGAGGCTGAAGTGCGCTTTGGCAGTGATGAGAAAGAGTATTGTGGACAGTGGGGCTGCAGGCAAGTTTAGTGAGAGGGAAAAGGACAGAAATGAAATCAACTAATTAGTGGAGGTCAGATCATGCACAGCACAGTAAGTCACAAGAGAGATTTTGATTTCATTCTGATCAAAATGGGAAGCCCTTGGACTCACCACATATTACTTTCATTATCAGTAATAATTGTCAATGCTCTTGAAATGGGTCTTGAAGTGGATGATGATGGTGACCGCAAATATTGTGAATGTACTTAAAGCCACTGCACTGTATATTTAAAAATGGTTTAATGGTAAGTTTTATGTTATACATATTTTAACAATGTTTTTTAAAAAAAGTTCAGGAGTGCATGCTATGCAAAAATCAGTGCTAAGTTCTGGTAACTATAAGAAGACATAGATTATTGAAGTGCTCAAAGTAAGGTTTAAGAGAGTAAATCCTATAAATTCAAGTATATAATGTAAGGTAGCATAGGTCATGTAACAAATGAGACGACTAAGCTGCCTGGGATCTTGTAGTATGTGTTCTCAGAAACATTTGTCTGAAGACACTCTGTCTGAAATAAAAGGATTCACTCATTTAAGAAATAATGCATCCCCAACCATAGAAACTCACCATGTGCATTGACTTTTCACTAGTTCTAGAAAATAACAACAATTTAATGATACCCATTTAACTTTGTGCAATCTGATGTTGCTAAACCACTTGGTTCACAAGCCCTTCTCTAGCATCCCCCATGAACATCCTGAGTAATTGGTATTCCAAAGAACCTATGGCACAGAACATGAAGATCTAAGATAGGAGGGAAGGAGTTTGTGGAGAAAGGGTGATCTGAGCTGAACCTCAAAGGAAAGGTGATACTTAGATTAGAGAGGAGGAATTGCATTCAGAGCACAGAAATGTGAAGCAATTCCCTTCAAAGTTCCTCTTCTGCAACATGCCTCTTCAAATACCATTGATCTGCAGAATGAATGTCCTAAATATACTGACAAAATCATAATCTTGATGACTACTGATAAACTTCTTCTAAAACATGCAGGATACGAAAGTCAAATTATTTTGTGCAAGTTACCTTAATTCTTTGTCCTTATTTTATAGACAATAAAGTTAAGGCCCAGAGAGACTATAACTTACTCAGTCATCCTGCCTAATCAATACCAGTGTTAGCTTTCTTACTCTGGGGCCAGGGTACTTTTCCATAAAGAAGGGAGTCATAGTCTTTGTGTGTCTGCCATAGACACTTTGAAATTAAAGCAAAAAATCAATTCCTATGCAAGATGAAGATTTCAGTATGCACTAGATATGGAAACAGAATCAAATTAAAGAACAACGCAAGCTTGGATTTTAATGAAGCTCATCTTTGTTTCCTTTGCAGATCAAATTTTTGGCTCTCATCTGCACACAGTGTGTGAACGTGAAAATTCCACAGTTCCATGGTTTGTAAAGCAATGCATTGAAGCTGTCGAAAAAAGAGGTGGGTAACTGAATATGCAGCAGTTCCCCTCATTGCTGCACCCTCTGAACAACCAATGCTCAAGTTAACGGTGCCACCTGATTTGTCTGGGAAGCCATGCAATTAAAACTTGACTTTCGTTAATCGGTTAAGAGGATCAAGTTTCTTATTAACTCCAGTTTGTTTTTACAATAGGGACATTAGTAATTCTCACTAATGTTCTTTTTTTTTAATATTTTGTCTGTCTGACATACTGTTGATTCAATTGCAAAGTTCTTGTTTCCAAGCCAGTGATAAAACATTCATAAAATATCAGCACTCACAGTGTTAGAACCCTCCTAACATTCATGCTGGTAGACGTTGTGCCAGAACAATTTTTGGTAAGCCCCCAACATTACCCAAGTGAAGCAAATAGCATTTCTACTTGCAGACAGAGATACCCCATCTTCCACATGTTTCTATTCAGTACAGAATACAGCTAACTGGTTTTCCTGGAAAAATTAACAAATGCACCTCCAGTGTTAAGATGACCTCCGATTCCTTTTTTTAAACATTCTGTTTTTCATCTGAAATTATTTCATCTAACTGAAGAGAACAAAACAAAACCCAATTGACTCATCATTTCTCTGCTGGTCTATCTGTGGAGTGTTTTTCCTTCAAACTATGACTTCATTCATTCAAGGTCATTTTTCCTGGAAGATACACAGAGTAGATGCAGAATCTTAAAAAAAATGTATTGTATAAAAATGTGAAGCTTCATCACCATCTGTTACAAGTTTATAACATATTCCCAGGATCTAGGGGGATATATATCATGTAAAAGATAGAGGTGTTTTCAGAAAAAAGAATTGGTGAACCTATTCTCATTTCCGGCTTCTACTTTCTTAAAACAATAGAACCAAAGGGAAAAAATCTTTACCACGTAATCTGCTAGGAAAAAGCCATTTTAATTCTCTCAATGTTACCTGGCTTTATTATAGAAGCATAATAAAAATGGTCTGCAATTTCTAACTCCTGGAAATTCACACTTTAATTATACTGTAAGGACAGCCTTGGGATCCTATTATTCCCATATCAGTAGGGAATGAGAGAATAACAAGAGGGGGAAGAGTGGGTAGAGAATGTGGATAAAGTCAGTGGGAAAGTGTATCAACACATCAGAGAAAAGAGCTGAAGGTACAGAGAGAGTAGAAAACAGTAACTGTAGAATAAACATAAGGAGAGGTGTCTATGAGAAATGAAGTCAATTGGAATTTAGAAAGAAATGTGTTTTTATTGCATATTGCAATTTCATTTAATTTTATAAGTACATATTTTAGGAATAAATATTATTTAATAAGTACTTAAAGCCAAAATGGATCACTGAGAATATTATAATGTTATTATTTCCAATAGCTAAATTATCATCATTCCCAGGAAATCTTCATTCACTTATAAATACTCAGTACTGGCGGTGTGAACACTGTTATATTAGACCCCAAATCCAAATAGGACGTTGGGGGAAGCTGTAATAAGATGTATGCATGTATGAAAAATAGCTCTCAATTTATGAATTTACCCTAGGCAAAATGAAAACTCTGCTAGAGCCTTGCAGTGTTCAGATACTATAATATTGTACAGTAGAAAATGTCTATAAATAGAAGCTGTATCTTTTGTACATGACATTTTGTTGGTGATTTTTAATAAAATAAGACAATGTTTCTGCTGACAGGAGCAGTCATATCTGACATTCCATTTTATTGTTCCAGTGTTTACTTTTAAAATGAATTTGTAGATCAAGCACTAAACAGGCGCTAATCACACATATGATTATTAAAATAATTCCTGAGCATTTTAATGAAACTTGAAGACTTTACAATTACACAAAGCAACTGAAAAACCAAAGTACATTGGCAGTGTCAGCTTAAAGAAACTCTATGGGAATGTTCAATAACAACTCAGAAGCACAAGATAAACAGCTCACATCATTGCAAGATTTACAAGTGTGTACTTTTGATTATATTTTTCTATGATCATTTACTTGGGTGAATATTCTTGCATTTATACACCAATTTTATTTACTCAAAGTGTTTTTTTTTTTTTTTTACTAAATTCTGGCATACAGAACTTCAGGACAGAAATAATTTATGTGAATCTAAGTCCAATGTTTATTCAAGCTTCTGATGACATTGTATGCTGGGGTTGGTATTAGGAAGTAGCTTATGAAGGTGCCAAGTCTCTCAGCACTACAGGAACTCAGCATACCTGCAGTCACCCTTTTGGTAGTCAGACCTTCTTCCAACTAACATATTCAACTGTGGAGTCAAGGGAAATACTATGGAACAGTTTTGGAAAAGGCACAATTAATGAACACTGTGTGTTTACTCTCAGTCTGAGGGAAAGGGCCTCAGTGCTCACATTGGCTGTTAGGAAAAAAAAAATTCTTTCCTTCCTCTTTATTTTTTTGTTGAGATTATTTTCTCTTCCTTAAAGAGACCATCTAGTCAGGTGTTGTGGTGCATGCTTGTAATCCCAGCAACTAGGGACTCCAAGGCAGGAGGATCACAAGTTCTAGGCCAACCTCAGCAACTTAGCAAGACCCTGTGTCAAACAAAAAAATAAAAAATACAAATGACTAGGAGTATAGATCAACAGTAAAGCAACTCTAGGTTCCAAAGAAAAATCATCTATAAACTGTAGTTGTACTTTTAAATGTATTTTTAGATATTTAAAACAAAACATTATGAAAAAGGTAGATCTTGCTGTTCATTCATTCATTCATTCATTGAGGTATTTATTTATATTATTGCTTGTATTTGACAACACCAAATTGTTTGTGTTTGTTTTTTTGGTTTTGTACCAGGAATTGAACCTAGGAACACTTAACCACTAAGCCACATTCCCAGCCCTTTTCATTATATATTTTTAGTTGTTTATGGACACAATACCTTTATTTTATTTGTTTACTTTTATGTGGTGCTGAGGATAGAACCCAGTGCCTCATATGTGAGGTAAGCGCTCTACCACAGAGCCACAATCCTAGACCCCTTTCTATTTTTTGAGACTGGGTCTTCCTAAGTTGCTTAGGGCCTGGATAAGTTGCTGAGGCTGGCTTTGAACTTGTTATCCTCCTGTCTCAGTCTCTGGAGCTGATGGGATTACAAGGCATACACCACCACACCCAGCCCAAACTGCTCATGTTTTTGTAGTCTCCCCAGAGAATTTCTATCTAGTAATTGCCACAAGATGCATTCACTATTCTATAGCAAAGTGGTTTGGTATTAGTTATATTTTAAATTTTGCATCTTTTGTCATACCTGGAAGAATACCTTTATGAGCTGAATGTAAACCCATATGGCAAATAACTTATTTAGTGTATTTTCTTATCTCATTGATTCCCTCTTTTCCTCTATACCATTGGAGCACTCTCCTCTTCACCAACTGTTACAGAAATTATTTAGGTGTTTTTGACAGTCTGCTTAGACTTGAGAACACTAGGAGAGGTGGAGGACAAAGTACAAGGGCATGCTAGTCTTTACTGCTCTCCAGGGGTCATTTCCCCGCCTTTCCCTGACAGTAGCAGGTCATGTATATAAGGTATCATAATCAGCCAATGAAAAATTCCACTTTTGTTTCTTCTTTTCGAGCAATTTCCTCCAATGCTCAATTCATGTTGTTGGTAAAATGAGATTGTCTGAAACATTTTTTAAGTTGTGGGGGATCAACCTCATAGAGAAAGAAACTGACACACACTGGTAGGTAGATATAAGCAGTGAGAAGCCCACTATTCACTACTTCATAGAATGTTTCATGAAGTTTATGATGATGGCACATATACACAGAAACTGATACTTAAAATAGGGTCACCTGTATCTATTAGAGAAAAGAGCCTTGGAGACCTGAACCAAAGTTTAGTGTAGCTATCCTAGAGTCATAAGCAGTAAGACCTCAAGTCATAATTCTTTTTATGAAAAGGTGTAACTGACTGACTGCCCTTCATGAAGGTCCAGGATTTGGAAAAAAGCTTTCACAGCCATGTGACACAGTGTCAGCACTCAATGGAAATTGGTTGAATGAAGAAGCAGACACTTTGTGTGCTACTCCCAGGCAACAAGTAGTTGTTGAGGACCTTCTGGGTCATTCTTCATGCTATCAGCTCAGAATATTGGGGAGCTAGACATTAAACAGATGCCCACATGACTATGAGAGTATCTTGGCACAAACTGTGTGAAGAGCTGTGAGAGAAAAAATCAGACACTATGAGACAGAATAACCACCGTGATAATAAAAGACAGGGGAAACTGGTGTGCCTAAAAATGATTCAGCAGGCCCCGAATAATAATAAACACATACGTATCTGGTTTTGACATTCATATAAGACCAGGAGAAGTTTAATTTTGCCTTATTAGCCAGTTTTTTTGGGTTTTTTATTTGTTTGTTTGTTTGTTTTACATATTGTGGCAATGCAATATAAGGAGAAACTTAGTACGATATACCAAAAATGACATGTATTAAGTGGCAAACCTGTCCTTTCTACCCAAAAATATAAACATGTGCCTACTAAAGACTTCTTTCTAGAGTTATGGGCTTAACTGGTGAAGGAGTATAAAGCTATGCTAAACATGTTTTTGTACATACAATACATTTTTGTTTGTAAAGGAATAGAACTATTTTTTTTTACGCTAATGTAATAAGGATTGACATCATTTGGAATATGATCTAACAACTCCTTTTTCCTTCAAGATTCCCAGTTCTGGTTAATATACCCACAAGCTACTTAGCATATTAAAATGATACCCAGAAATCTGTTGCACAGAAATGTAAATATACTTAACACTATGGAATTATGTGCATATAAATAGTTGAGATAGTGAATTTTATGTTTTCTGCTTTCTACCACAATTTAAAGAAATAAAATGATGCCATGTCTTCCAAATTTGATGATTCCAGGTACAAGCTACTTTGCAGAGTGCCTCAGCAAATGCTAATCAACAAGAAGTTTGTCTTTTCTGTCTCATTTCTGAAACACAAAAATGCTATGA